AGTGCTTGTATAAATAAATAAAAATAAATCTTAAAAAAAAAAATAGTCTTTTAAAAAAAAAAGCAGCCAGGAATTGAACCGGCGCTGCAGAGGCTGCAGGCAGCTTCCCAACCCAGCGCTCAACCGCTGCACCACTGGGGAGGCCCAAAATAAATAAATCTTAAAATAAAATAAAATAAAAATACATTTTATTCTCTCTAGGATAATTTTTCCCTAAAGAAATTCAATTTCCCCTTTGCTTTTCCTCAGACTTTTACCAAAGACACAGACTCAGGAATGAGCCCAAAGCCAAGAGGCAAATATACACTAGACAGTAAAATGTAAATTAAGTCCTCCTCAAGATTTAGGTTGGTTCAATTCCTTTTTTTTTTTTAAGATTTATTTATTTTTAGACAAGAACTGGGGTACAGGCTAGTGGCACGGGAGGTTGAGTGGATTCACCAGAGACAAAGCAGGGAGCAGAACAGGCAGACTGACTGAAATACACTGCTGAGGGGAGCAGCGGGAGAGACAGGAGAGGTCTGCCACACCAGGAGGGTATCTCCCTGGCCGGCTGGGAATCGAACATGCGCTACAGAGGCTGCGGACAGCTTCACAGCACTGTGCCACCGGGGAGGCTCAAGGTTGGTTCAATTCTTCCAGATTCATCCTGAGAGCTACTTTTACCCTTTAGAATGAAGACAGCCTTGGGGCTGAGTTTAAGCTTGAAATTAGGGTTTTGTTTGAGGCTAAGAGTCTTTGACTGCTCTTGGCCTCAGTTTCCTGTTGGGTGGTAGAACAAAAAGGCCCACGTAATGAATAACACTCTGAGAACACTGGGAGAGAGAAAAGGACTCTAGGAAATAGGGCCATATTATTAACTATTAACAATTATACAAGACTTTGCTTTGTGAAAGGACTGACCTATTAATTGCCACTTTGACCACCTCAGTGGGTGTGTCTGACTTGTTAAAATATGCATGGCAGGGATGGGGGTGAGTAGGAGTTCTGGGACAGAAAAAGGCACACAAGAAGGGTTTTTGATTCTAGCATCTAGTCTAAGGCTAGCCCCTCCCAGACAAAAGGCACAATTAATTTATTATCTCTTGTCAATAATTTAAGTTTCTTCCCAGTAGGAATCCTTTACTAAGAGGAAGAACCAGGGGGCCTCCCTGGTGGCTCAGGGGTTAAAGTCTCAGTACCATCAAGCTATGGCAGCTACTGTAGCATGAGTTCAACACACACACACATACACACACCGCCACACCCCTGCCAGGGAGGTGACCCACATGGCACAGGTGACCCACTTGACCTCTCCTGTCTTGCCCAGTGCACTTGTTCTGCTCTCCACTCTGTCTCTGGTGAATCCTCTCACCACCACCACCCCCCCTTCACCTCTGGCCTACACTCCAGTTTTTGCATGCATAAATAAAAAAAATAATAAATCTTTTTTTAAAAAGGAATAACCAGAGCAACACAACGTCCTCAGACTACAATTCACCCCCTGCCCCCACACACACAGGCACAAGGAGGCACTGACCTTGCCATGTTTGTGCTGTTTGTGCATCTTTTTATGAGCTTTCTTCATTTTCTTCCGCATCTTCTTGTCCATTACTATTCCTGGATTGACCATGCCAGGAGCCAAGGGAGTCACAGGAGGCATGCCAGGGGCAGCAGGTGGGTACGGAGGGGGATAAGGCCCTAGGGGTTGGCCTCCTGGATACCCTGGTTGTGGCACAGGACAAGGGGGCCCACCTGGGGGGAAAGCCGGATTCCCCTGGGGAGCTCCTGGGGGAGTGGGAAACGGGCATTGAGGATAGGCCGGATTGGCAGGCGGTGGGTAGGCAGGATTGGAACCTCCCGGGTACCCCACGTTAGTGGGATATGGATTTGGTCCTGGTTGTCCTGATAGAAGCGAAGAATAAATTAAAATTAGAATCCCCCAGGAGCCTGACAACAAATAATAACAAAAAGAAAGGTCTTCAGTTTCTCACTCCGCACTTCAAGGGAAATGGAAGGCAGGAGAAAGGCGGCCGGAGAGACCAGCCCGCGAGGGAGGGCAAAGGGCGCGCCCCGAGGGAGCCCGACAGGGCCGGGCGGGGAGCGCCGGGCGGCGGCCATCGAGGGCTGCTTTGCGGGCGGGAGAAGCAGCAGAAGACACAGAAAGTCCAGCCGCGGGGCCGTCCGAAAAGGGGGGGCCGTGAGGGAAGAGCGTCCCCAGAACACCTACCGGCATTGGGGTTCCACATGTTCAAGGGCTCGCGGCCGCCTGAGGAGAGAAACGGAGGCGAGAGCTGAGCGCCCCGAGGCGGGGAGGGGGTGCGAGCCCCGGCCCGGCGCCGCCCGCCCCGGGGCTCTCAGGGAAGCCGCGCGCCGCCGCGCCCGAGGCTTCTTCGCTGCCCGTCCTGCGCCCCGTCCCTGCCGCCCCCCAGCCCACCGACCGCGGGAGCTCGCGCCCGCACCCCCTTTCCAGATCCCCCGCCGCAGCCGGCGTCTCCGGCGCCCCTGACTCCCACCCCTTCGCCCTCCCCCAGCCCGACCGTCCGAGCTGAAGGCCCCCGAGCCCGGCCCAGGACGCGCCTCAGACCAGCCCGGCCCGCGGCCCCGCGCCGGGACCGCCCGGCGGCGGGCGAGGAGGGGACCCCGAAAAGGCCCACCCCGGCGGACACGCCCCCTCTCCCCTGAAGGAGGGCCCGGGGCTCCCGGCGCCCAGCTGCGAGAGGACCCCCGACCCGGGAACGGGGAGAGGAACCGGGGGCTCCAGGGGCCCGGTCACCTTTCCACCCCGGCCGGCCGACGCGTCCTCCTCCGCCGCGCGCGGCTTCCTGGTCGCCCCACGCCGGCCCCGCCTCTGCGGGCCCCAAAGGGCGAGCCCGCGGCCGCCGGGCTGCGATTGGCGGGTGAGGCGGCGTCGGGCCCGCCCCGGCCGGGAGCCGGGCGCCGAGGGCTCCGGGGCCGGCGGGCGCGGCGGGCTGGCGGCTCAGGAATCCCCGGGGCGAGGCTGGGAGGTGCCGGCCCCGGGCAAAGTCCAGGGACCGCCCGAAGAAACTCCGCCGGCCCCTGACGCGCGCCCGGAGCCAGGCCCGGCGAAGTCAGTCCTCGTGACCGGTGATGTGACGCTGGTGCTGCGCCCACAGGGAAGGGCACATTCTTTTTTTTTTTTAATATTTATTTAGTTATGCATACAAGAGCTGGGGTACAGGCCTGAGATGTGGGGTGGTGAGAGGATCCACCAGAGACAGAGTGGGGAGCAGAACAGGCAGACTGACTGAAATCCACTGCTGAGGGGAGCAGCGGGTGTGACAGGAGAGGTCTGCCGCGCCAAGTGGGTATCCCTCTGGCCGGGATCGAACTCGCTCACACTGCAGAGGCTGCGGATGGCTTCATAGTGCGGTGCTTAACCCCTTGCGCCACCAGGGAGGCCCCAGACATATTCTTGATGGAAATATGTAGGAATTTCCTAATCTCTTTCCTAGGATCCCTTCTCTGAACTGCAGTGCTCTGTGGAATTGTATAAACCAAAGACCAAGGGGGTCATCCTTGATGGCTTCTCCATCACCTACCTTCTTCCCATCCAGCTATGTACTTTGTGGTACTGTGCTTAAAGGCCCTTGAAAGGTCAATGCAGGGACCAGGAATGAGAAGGACCACATAGAAAAAATAAGATGGACGTGACATCAGTACCACTGATACCATCAAACTGAAACTGAAGCCATAACAGGAGAAAAACAACTCCACTCCACAAAAAACAACTTTGTTCCACCTAAACCTGTTTTCCCCCCCAACCCAGTTTCCCTGCCCAACCTCTCCTCACCCTATAAAAGGACATCTCCCCCACAATGGGGGTGACTTCACAGACCCCCACCTTGGGTCCATGAGCTTGCCCGGGGGGCGCAATCAATTTTCCCCCCATTTGAGAAATTTAGCCTGGCCTCCTTTTCTTTACTATGCCAAAACTTTCAGCCCTAACCACAGACTTTTAAATTAATGAATAAACATTTAACTTTAATAGATAAAACATGCAAAACGTTGAAAATTCAAGAGGTTAAAGAAAAGGCAGATAGTAAAAACTCAGTCTTCTTCTCACTGTCCACCTCTCCTCAGCCACAGTTTCCCTTCCATGAGTTCACCTTGACTCATGGATGGATGTTTTCAATTTTCTAGAACGTTTGTTTACCTCTCCATCACCATGAGGTCACCGATCACAAGAATACCATATTAGGCAAATACTGGATTTAGTGAAGTAATCCTCACAGCTGGATTTTTTTAGAAGTCCATAATTTCACGGAATCATGGAATTATAGGACTGGAAATTACTTTGAGAATCATTCATTCAACTTACTGAGAAAATTAAGGTTCTTAACTCCTAAGAGTTCACAGTTAGGAGAACCAAGATTGTAACCTAGGTTTTCTGGCTTTTATGTCTCTGATGTCTTCAGTAAAACATATAACAACACACCTACTCAAAATTACTGCAGTTAAACATGGTAAAAGCTTACCACAACCCTCCCTTATTATTTGAATTTATGGCTTTTCAGAGGTTTTGGAAATGGTTGTAGTTGTTTGGTTTCTTAAAAATAAGCTTGTCGGGCCTCCCTGGTGGTCTAGGGGTTAAGAATCAGTGCTATCACCGCTAAGGCATGAGTTCAATCCCCGGCCAAGGAGCTAACCCACATGGCACAGCAAACGTCTGCTCCCTGCTCTGTCTCTGGTGAATCCTCTCACCCCCCCCCCATACCTCTGGCCTACACCCCAGTTCTTGTATGCATAAATAAAAATAAATCTTTTAAAAAAATAAGCTTGTCAAAAAAAATAAGCTTGTCTTTTTTAGGGCAATTTTAGATTTACAGAAAAATTGAGAAGGTAGGGGCCTCCCTGGTGTTGCAAGGGGTTAAGATGCAACCTATGAAGCTATCCTCAGCCACTGTAGCACAAGTTCAATCCCTGGCCAGGGAAGTGACCCACATGGCGCAGCTGACCTCTCCTGACTTACCCACTGCTCCACTCAGCAGTGTGTTTCAGACAGTCTGCCTTTTCTGTTCCCCACTCTGTCTCTGGTGAATCCTCTCACCCCCCACACCTCTAGCCTGTACCCCCATTCTTGTATGAATAAATAAATCTCTAAAAAAAATTTGAGAAGGTAATGTAGTTTTTCATTTTGCCTACACCCAGCTCTCCCTGTTAGTAACATCTTAACTTAGTATATTTGTTACCTTGATGAATCATGCTTATTATGAATTAGATTGCATTAGTGTTTGTTTTTAAGGATTTATTTGTTTATGCATATAAGAAATGGGGTGTAAGCCAGAGGTGTAAGGGGGGTGAGAGCAGCGGGGAGAAAGGAGAGGTCTGCTGCACCATGTGGGTCACCTCCCTGGCCAGGGAACAAACTCAGGCCTTAGTGGCTGGTGATAGCTTAATAGTACTGAGACTTAACCCCTGCGCCACTAGGGATGCCCAAACATTGTTTTTAATGACCCAAAAGCCCTGAGCTGTTATTTAAAATCTTGGGACCTGGGACACATTTCCAAACCCCTCTGAGCCCCCGATTTCCTCCTCTGTGAGTGGCTCTCACAGTGTTGTCATGTAGGTGGTTGGCCAGAGGCAAGACCCAGTGAAAAGTCATGTTTGAAGATTATCCAGACTGTGTTTAACCTAGACTAGGGAAGTACAGGTGGCCAAGAGGCCATGGCAGACCTGCCACGCCTAGGAGGATGGGATGAGGTGGTGCCCAGAGCAGGCCCCGCCAGGCAGCCTCAGGGGAACTCGAGAACTGACCCCACGTGGGGGGAGGGGACAAGAACACCTTCTTTGTTGGATCCTCAAGGACCAAGAGGAAGCGGGTTAGGGAGCCTCATTGGTGAGAGAAGGGGCTTGGGTATAATGTCTTCATTGCCTATCCAGCAGCCTATCCAGCAGCGCTGTCAGGTAGAGAATTGAAGATCAGGGTCTGAAAGAAGGTGAGCCATCTTAAGGGTGTGAGACATCAGAGCTTGAGAGTGGACAGGCTTTCTAGAGGGTAAACTTGACAACAACGAGGCTAGCAAGGGCCTAGAGATCATCCCAACACTGTCACAGCGGCACTGTTTGTAGAGTGTCCACGGAAGTCAGGTGCTATCTACGACCTGTCGCCTTTTCTTTCCACCCAGAATCAACACTTAAAGCAGGGTGAGAAAGAAAGAGGAAGAAACTTGCTAAGGGCATGAGTTAGAAATTGAGCTAGGGCTATAAAATATGCAGGCGAGGAGCAGCCAGTGTTAAGGGGGCCTAAGTGTGTGTGTGTGGGTAATCATAGAAAAAACATTGACAAGAAATGAAGGGAGGGCCTCCCTGGGGGCGCAGGGATTAAAGTTTCAGCATGTCAGGCTGTTGCCAGCCACTGTGACATGGGTTTGATGCCTGACCTCTCCTGTATGGCCAGCTGCTCCCCTCAGCAATGTATTTCAGTGGATCTGCTGTTCTGCTCCCCACTCTGTCTCTGGTGAGTCCTTTCACCACCACCCCTGTACCTCTGGCCTTCACCTCAGTTCTTTTATGCATAAATAAATTAGATAAATTATTTTTTTTTAAAGAAAGAAATATAGGGAGATCTTCTTACCACGGCTCCCAGGACCTCTCCTACAGTTTTCCACATCATCTCCCCTCTCTCCTCACCACACGCCCTACACTTTTGTTACCCAGATTACTTTCCTTCACACTACATGGTACTACAGGCAGAAGTGCCCTACAGCCCCCAACACTGCCGGACAACTGCTCATTCAAGACCCAGCGCCAGCATCCTGTGCTGTGAGGCCTTCCCACTCAAGCTTCAAGAGGGGACACTCGCCAGGACACTGCACAGACCCCAACAAAGTGAATTGTGGGTCTCTGAGCACTTTCAGAGAATATAATTTCATGGTATTCATCAGTGCGCAGTATGAAACCCCACCAAATAAAGGCTGTGGAGGGAGGAGAAAAGAAGAGAGTCAGGGGAAGCCTGGGCTCACAGGAGGGGCCCCCATTTCTTCCCTGTGCACACCTACCCCCAGGCTCTGGTCAGGACTGCAGTGGACCAGATGCCCACTGAAGGGTCCAAACACTCAGCGAGTCGGCAAGGCAGAGCAGACACTGTTTATGTTTGCACGCACGTGGACTACACATTACCCACACATGTACACGTGAGCAACGGGGCGGTTACGCTGAGGATTCCTGAACCAAGGGCCTTGTTTCTGCCACTGAAGTGGCAGACCCTGGGCTGAGGCCTACAAGGGAGCATGCCATCGGGGAGGAGTTGAGAGTCAGTCTCTGGGGTGGAGAGGAGGGCAGCTGTCTGCACCGCCCTCCGGGTCGGGGTGTGCCTCCTGAGGATGGGCCAGGGCTGCCAGACGCTGCCGCACACACTCAGCTGTCAGCCGGGCTTCTGGGTCTGCATCCCAACAGTCCTCCAGCAGATCCCTCAGGCCACTGGGGTCCTGAGAAGAATGACCAGGAGGCAGACTTGACCCCAGGATCCTCAGTGGCCCCCAAAGTAGTCCCCTCAGTTAAAAAGTGTCTGCCACTCCCCACTTCCAACATTCCTAGTCTGAGTCTTCTTGGAGCCTCCCTCCCTCCCTCTCTCTCACTGGAATCCAGCCCTCTGCATCTTGTTCTCTATGAGACAGTCCTCTGGGTGTCTTCCAAAGGGCTCATCTTATTCTCTGAGGAGCTAATTCAGGTTAATATCTTAATATGCTGATGGGAAATTTCTCTCCTTTCTCTCAGGCAACCAGGGTCTTCTGCCAACAAGCCTGGGTCTGGTTATCCAGCTCAGCAGATGCTTATGCAGTGGAAATTTTAGGCCAGGTAGCAGGGGAAGGGACTTCCTGTTAAGAAACCTTTTGTACACGCCCCTGAAATTACACTGGTAGGCGATGCTTTAATCCTTCACACCTGGGCCTGGCTGTTACTGGGTCAAAGCAGAAACAGATGTGTAGGGCAGAATGAGCAATTATCTGATTGAATGTTGGGCTCAGTATACTGGGAGAGGAGACATCCTGCAGGCAAAGTTCAGGGTAGAAGCCAAACCAAAGAGGGCTTCCTGGAGGAGAGGACCGAGGAACAGGACTAGCTGATGGTAGAGAGAAGAAAGACAGACTAGACAAGACTGAGCAGAGAAAAGCATGCGTCTCAGAAATGGGCTGTGTGAGGATGAACTGGGGTAAAGCGCCAGTTTGCCCAGAGCTAAGTGGACATGAAGCTGGAGGGTTGGGAGCTGAAGGGACACAAGAGTAGCTGCGTTGGCCTTGGAAGGCAAGTTCTTGAAGCCCATGCCCAGGCTCGCCAGGTCTCCAGCCCACCAGCCAGCCCATGGCCTCTTACTGTGGCTAAGCGGTGCCAGGTGGATGGGATGTAGGGGCGCCTTCTCTGCTCCACCGCCAAGGCCCACAGCTCACAGGTGGTGGGGGCACTGCCCAGTTCTGCCTCATAGGCCAACTGGAAGGGTGGTGGACTGTTGTCTGGGGAAAGGCACGAGGGGTTAGGTGCCAGGTAACCTTGGGTTTCCTCCCTGATGAAAAAGCCAAGGTGGAGAAGGGCAGAGTTCCCTGGATCAGAAGGTAGGTGGGTCTAGTGGGTGGGAGGGGCAGAGGTGGGGGGGACTACTGCCCCCATCCTTACCAGGCCACAAGTCTGGGCAGCGGCTCAGGATCTCCCACAGGAGCAGAGCCAAAGAGTAAACGTCAGCTTGCCGGAGGGCCGCCCCCCAGTCCTGCAGGTCCAGAGTCTTGTCCAAGAGCTCTGGGGCCATGTAGCGCTGGGTGCCAGCCTGGAGAGCAGGGTGTAAAGGGCCAAGAATCATCTCTCTGGCAACCCTCATTGCAACACTAGTCACCGCAGTACCCTCACTCCCGAGTCACAATGTCCCCATACCACGGGTATTCATTGCCCCACTGCCACGCAGCAGGCCCGGCTCCACCAGCACCACCACCGGCCCTACTCGCCCTCATCCAAGTACCTACCTCCATGACGGCAGCTGGGCCTCGGGGCTGAGGAGGGGTCCAGGTGGGGGGCTGGTGGAGGCCGGGCAGCACCAAGGCGAGGCCCAGGTCTGCAATGGCACACGACCCATCCTCCCGAATGAGTACGTTTTGGCTGCTCAGATCTCGGTGGGCGATGCCTGGTTTATATTGACCTGCGGGAGAAGAAAAAGTTGAAGGGCATGGATCTTCTTCCTTTCTCTTCGACCCAATCCTTCCACCCAAGCTTCGGGAGAATCAGAAATGTAGCCATACGTCTCCTGGCTACGGCTTCCGGCACCCAGTTCACCCACCATCCTGCCAGCGCTCCTCATGGAGAAACGCCAGGCCCTGTGACAGGGACAGTGCCATCCACAGGGAGGTTCTCCAGTCACTGGCGTGCTGGGCCAAGTAGTGGCACAGGGAACCCTGAGGAGAAGCAGAGAGAAGAGGGGAACACACAAAGCTGTGTGGGTTCACCCCAGGCAGCAGAGGTCAGCTGACAGACCACCCCTGCATCTTCCCGCAGACAGACACAAATACATTCTGGCCAAGACGCGGGCAGGGAGGAGGAGGCTACACCCAACAGACTGACAGGCAAAAGAGCAGCTGAGTTCAAGCGCCCTCCAGTGTGACTGCCCACCTGCCCCGTCATGCTCAACCATCTGAGCAGGTGGGTGTTCCTGTCACGTCCATTTTACCACTGAACAGCTCGAGGGAGAGCTTAGGAATCTTGTGGGAAGTCCCTTGATGAGAAATAAGTAGAGCCTGAACCCAAGAAATTTCACTCCACTCACTATCATCCACCTTCTGCAGCCTCAGAGGACTTAGGACAACGACAGAGACAGAAGAGGCAGGGGCACGCCTCTTGAACCACCTGGCTGAAGTGCCAGGCCTGTCCGGTAGAGCCAGTTGGTGGGACGAATCCTTGGGTAGGAAATGAGCAGGTGGGGAGCAAGTGGGGGCTGCAGGGAAAGGAGCAATAGAGTTGCTCTTTGTTTTTTTTAAGATTTATTTATTTATGCATACAAGAGCTGGGGTACAGGCCAGAGGGGTGAGAGGATTCACCAGAGACAGAGTGGGGAACAGAACAGGTGAATTGACTGAAACACACTGCTGAAGGGATCCCCTGGCCGGGGATCAAACTTGCGCCACAGTGGCTGTGGATAGCTTCATAGTGCTGAGACTTAACCCCTTGCGCCACCAGGGAGGCCCCTGGATTGCTCTTTTGACTACCGTTATTGTGCCTCTTCAGGGTCTTGTGAAAGTTAAACAAAGAAAACCATAAAAGGAGTGATTGTTGAGCTGGGTCATCAGGCACATGGTCAAGCAGGGGATTTTCCAGAAAGCCAGATTTCAGAGGTAGAGGACTGTAGGTGCTGATTCAGTCCCAGGTCCTTAGAAGGCCCTCTGGCCGTGTGTGGTCTGGCCCTGCCTCCTACCTCTTCCTCTTCATCTTTTTAGCTCATTTTTCTCCCCTCAGGCCCATCTCCTCATTCTTATAGCACCATCTTTTAGCACTTAACATACTTGACACTGTGCACTATTTTTGTGTTTACTTGATCCGCGTCTGTCTCCCCCACTACTCTATAAAATCCTAAAGGCAGGGACTGAGTGTGTTTTTCCTAACGGCACAACATCTGACATATAGTTCATAAAGATTTGCTGAATGAATACACAAATGAATCTGGAGGGTTCTGCAGGGAGGTATTTCTTTAACAATGGTTGGGAATATGAATTATTTTGATTTCTTTCTTTATAGCTTATGAATTAAAAATATTACCAGGCACTACAAGCATTGCTTGTGCAATAAAAAAGAGAAAACAACAGAAATAATTTTTAATGTTTTAGACAAGAGAAAATCTAAACCAGAAGGATGAGTGTGGATAGGACCTCGCTGCTGCCAGCCCCATACACACAGGCAAACACACACACATCCATTCCTTGTCCTCACCTTGGGGTGCAGTTCCAGGATCAACAGGGGGCCGCAGGGCCCGGGGCCAGGTCCGCCCCTACTGGCTGTGATAAAGCGGACAATGTGGTCGTGCTGTAGGCCTGGCAGCTCGTACAAAGCTCTCTCAGCTCGGAATTGGGCCACTGCCCTCCGGGGGAAGGCCTTGATGGCAACCAGCTCGCCTTGCAGCCGCCCAGCCCACACCACTGCGTGACGTCCTTCCCAAATTACCTGGTGGGGACAGAGTGCTGGGTGCAGGCCTCAGCCACTGCAGCATCAGGCTTCCTCCCAGCACAGCCTCTGGGAGTGCCTAGAGGTGACCTCCCCCCCTCCCTGGGCACCTGGGAGAAGCACAGGTCTGGCAGCTCCGGCAGCCCCGCACTCCAGCCTCCGTCTGGCTCCAGCTCCGGCTCTGGTCCACCTGGCGCTCTGCAGGCCTTTCTCTGCAGGAGGGCTGGGGCAGAGAAGAGCCCTTGGGTCAGCGTACATAGGCATGAAGATGGGGAAAGGGGCTTTGTGGGAGTAATGGGGCTCAGCCTGCAGAGATCTCAGGACCATGCATGGGGGCGGGGGGCACCTGGTGAGGGGTCAGAACTTTGGGGCAGTGTATCGGGGTTACATGAGAGGCTGGGGCGGATGAGTACCCACGACGATGCTGCCCAGCAACAGCAGAAGGAGGCACAGCCCCAACAGCGCCAGGGCCATCCAGATGGACTCGCCTGAAAGGGAAGGCAAGAAGGCAAGCTGGGAGTCCTGCCCCAAACCCACTCTCGGCTCCTCTCCCCCTCCTCAGAGATCTTGCCTCTGGACCCACCCCCACCCTGGTCACAGGCTCCCTTATCTTTCAGTCACCAGGGCAACCAACTTCTCAAGGCCAGGAGGAGGGAAGCCTGGAATGGGGATAGGGTGTGAAAGGCCCTGGCTCTACCTCACATCCCAACCTGGGCCCCAACCCCCACCCAGCTCAGCACCCCAGGTGGCTACCTGGTGCAGCCTGGGGACCCTGGGGTCCAGGAGTCCCAGGGCTTCCCAGAGGGGGCAGGTGGCTGTAGTTGGCATTGCAGAGGTCATTGCCACAAGAGCAGGTGAAGAGAGTGGAGCCTGGGCTAGGGTGGGCTCTGAGGCTCAGGTTACACTGGGGGGACTCACAGCCTGGCTCATCACTGTCTCGACAGCCTGCCCAGGGGACATGAGAACAGAAGCAAGAGGGAGAGGAAGAGGGGAAAGGGGTAGGGAGGGGCAGAGCGAAAGAGAGAGGTTGGTCCGGGACTAGAAAAGATGAAGAAATCCCCTCTCTCAGAGGCATCTCTTCCAGCTCCTCATCTCTTCCAGCTTTTTCTTTCCCCGCACACATTTCATCATTTCATTCCCCTCCTCTCCCTCACTGCCCCCCCCCCAGATGTACCTGTCTCCCACCCCGGCTGTCATCTGAGCTGTCATCTGCCGTACACTTCGCCATTCACCTTGCATCGCCACCTGTGCCTGGTCTCGGGTCAGGTTCCAGATCCCGAAGCAGCAGCGGCTGTAGAGGCAGCGGATAATCCTGGGGGGCCCTGGTCCTGCATCCAGCAGCTTCCCCAGTGTCTTTGTGCTTCCCCGCACTCCGGGGGCCTCAAAGAACACACAGGTCCGTCTGCTTGGGGGTGCTGAGGCCCAGGGTGGTGAGCGGGGAGGGTTCGAGAAGGGAGTGAATGCGCTGGCAAAAGCAGCCGCCGAAAGGAGACGCAACACATTTCCTATCAGGGCCAGCGTGGTAAAGTCACAGAGAGAAATGTGGTCAGCAGAGGCCTGAACCTGACCCCCGCCATGGGGCACATGGCTTCGCCCTCACCAACCCCACTCACCAGTCTTCCAAGGGGGTGGCTGCTTCTTCAGGTGCCCATTCCCTCACTAGGTGAGTGGAACGACCGTGCCCCTCCCTGTGGACACCTACCTTGCACGGCTGTGGGGAGCAATGCCCAGACCCCCAGAGTCCCCAGCATCGTGCTGTAGGAGGCAGCAGCAGGAGAAGAGTCTGAGCCAACTCAGCTGCCCCTGGCCAGCTCTTCCTTCAGATACAGGGCACTGTGGGGTTTCTGATCCCTCAGTCCCCAACTCCGCCTTCCTGCCTCTTATCCCAGTGTCTGTGGGGGAGATGGCTGCTGTGGGGGAGAGGTGGGTGTGTGGAGAAAAAGGAGAGAGCGGGAGGAGCCGAGAACCACTCTCATATCCTGCTCTCTAAGTCACCTCCTCTTTTCTTTGCAAAGTAGGAGGAGGGGGCCTTGGGAGCCCAGCTGAGAACCCAGGGGTGCCTAAGTTCAAACCTCTGCCCTTTCCTGACCCTGGAAGAAGGCACTGGATCCTGTCAGGCCTTCCTAGGCTGGAAACCAAAGTGAGGCCAAACTCTCAGGGCCATTCCACGGTGCCAAAATCCCTTCTAGCTCTTATTTTCAGGGCACAGACCTGCTGCTCCCTGGGCAGACAGGCTTCACCACCCACACGCCTAGACTAGAGTTGATGTCAGTTTCCAAACTGAAGCTTCACAAAGCAGTTTTAGAAAATTTCTCAAAGTTTAAAAAATCACCATTATTGAGAAGATAACACATTTTTATTGAGCACCTACGTGCAAAGCTAGGGTTAAGCATCTTACAGCCATCTTGTCCTTTCATTGAGTATTTATTATCACCTTCACTTTATAGGTCAGAAAACTAAGTTTAGGTCACTTGCTCAAGGATACTGTACCAGATAATAACAGAGCTGACATTTCAACCTAGATTAAGTCTAATTTAATTAAGTCAGATTGAGTTCAGGCTCTGCCCTTTGCATTATGCCATGGTGCCTGGAAACAAATACAAAATTCGGCAATCAACTATGTTTCTATTTAATATAGTATTTGGATATTCGAATTTGGGTTGTTGAGAAAATAGACATCATTGCCTGCCCACAGGTCAGTCTAGAAAAGGCAACAGTTCAGACTATCACCACCAGAGGTCGGTAGACATAGGAGAAACTCAGGGCCAGTCAGGGCCAGCAAGAGCCTCCTCCTCTGGAGGAATGGCCACAGAGCAGGACGGTCATCTGTTATACTTCAGGGACTGTGAACCGTGGGCAGGGCATGGGGGGTGTTGAGGCAATGGAAATGGACAGATCTCTGGCTGATGCTGCCACATCTGGCTGATGCTGCAGAGGGCATTCAATGCCAGACTCTCGCCTGGAGTTAAGGAGGGACAGTTAGAGGTGATTATTTCCACACCTGTGAACACTGGCTCCCAAGAGAATCAGAGTCAGAGGGGGACAGTTCCCTGTTTTCCTAGCATTTGTCTTCGTGATGGCTGCCTGGACCATCACCCAGACCATCTGGGAATGGTCTGGTTTAGACCAGGGACCAGGTTCTGAGCACTAACTGACTCTGAAGCCTTTCTCCTGCGGACGCAGTATAAAAGGAGAGTGAAAATTGCAGCCGTTGTGAAGCAGAAGCTGGAGGAGTGACCAGGGCTAGAGGCAGATGGACAACTGCCCATTTCTCCTTGGGCCTTCCTGGGCGCAGGGCCCTGCCAGTGAGGTGGAATGCTGCACTTAGTTCCAGCTACTTCCCTCCACCGGCTCCCAGATCAGATAAGGGGGGGAGGGGCTGAAGGTCAAATAGCTTCTTGTGTCTGGAATGTCTCAGGAAAGACTTGTCTCCTTCAGAGGGAGGTAAGTTAAGGATTAGGCAGAAAGGCAGTTTCCTCACCAAAACTGGGTAACTACTCTCAGAGAGAGATTCTAGCTGGGTTTACAGAACTATACTGCCCTGGGCAGTGAGGATTTAGAGATGAGTTGGTGATAGAAGGGGTAAGAATATGAAAGATGAGGGATCAGGAAGGCCCTGAAAAATGACCAGAGCAGAGTTTCAGGTTCCACACATACAAAGATCTTCATCAGGATCCCTAATTCAAGTATTCAGTGGGCTGAAAATTTATCTTTGACCTCACTGACTACCAGGCTAAAGTGGGTTATTCATTCAATGCAGAAAAGATTAGGTCCCAGTCTTTAAAAAGTAATTCATTAGGTATTAGGCCTATGAAGATATGAATGATACCCGCCCTCCAGGAACTCACAGTCTAGAAAGGAAGGACATATATTAATCAACAAGCAACCAGAGAATTATGTGTCAGACCTAGGGTATGAACAAGGAGCCATATAAGCAGACAGATCAAATAAAGCCAATCTGGTCACAAAAGATGAAGGAAGAAAGTTGCCCAGAGGGTCCCACAGAGAAAAGGATATTTAAATTTTCTCAAAGGTAAGCACATGGGTAACAAATTAAAGGAGGGTGATTGTCATAGGCACAGGGGACAGGAAAATAAAGGCATAGAGGGCTGTATACAAGGTGTGTGGTGGGGGAGCAGAAAATCACCCTAGAAATGACTGGGGCCAGATTGGAAAGGTTTTCTTTACCAAGAAGCTTAGACTGTTGCTAACAACAAAAGATTTTAGTCAGGAGTTTGGCCGCCATGTGGAAAATGGAAGACTGGGCTGCAGAAAGACCAGAAATAAGGAGATCACTTTAAGACCTAACTGGTAGCCAAGGTGAATCCTAGGGCAGTGGAAGTTAAAATAAAAAGGGAGGGCCTCCTCAGTGGTGCAGCGGGTTGAGCGTAGCGCTGTGAAGCTGCCCACAGCCTCTGCAGCGCTGGTTTGATCCCGGCCTGCCGGCAAGAATCCCACATGGCGCGGCAGACCTCTCCTGTCTCACCCGCTGCTCCCCTCAGCAGTGTATTTCGTCAGTCTGCCTGTTCTGCTCTCCGCTCTGTCACTGGCGAATCCTCTCACCCTCCCGCGCATCTGGCCTGTACCCCAGCTCTTGTATAAAAATAAATAAATCTTTAAAAAAATTTAAAAAAAATAAAAAGGGAAAAAATTGAGATGCATTGTATTAGTAATCAAATGAATGTTGGTAGATAAAAGGGAAAATTAAAAGCTGATTCTGAGGTTTCAAGTGTAAGTGATGAAGGGTAATAATAGAGCTAAGTGAGATGAGGAACACAAAGGATTATTTTCTTTCTTACATGTTGTTGAAGTTAATTGTGGGACATCCACATGAAAATGTTAAGTAGATTGCCAGGTTCAGAGAAAAAATAGGTCTCAAGACCTGGAGTTGCCAACATGTAATAGCTACAGAGCAGACGTGGCTGGTTTAAGGCAGGAGGGTGCTGTGGAAGAGAATGAGGAAAGGACACAAGACGGAGACATCAACATTTAAGGAATAGAGGAAGAAGGGGCTAAAAATAGGCTGAAAGCAAATCAAGAGCATTAGTTTCACAATCCATGGGGAGAAAGCTGTAAGATGCAGTGTAAGGGGCTAATGACTGGAAGGCCACTGAAGCTGGCAAGCAGGTCACTGATGGAGATGAGAAACAATTTGGCAAATGATGGGTACTGAACAAAGTAGCCTGAGGAATGAGTAAAGGAAGGAGAAAGTAGAATGTAAACTTTCACTAACTTTGGAAATGGAAAAGAACTAGATCATTAGCTGAACAGGAAGAAGAGGTATTTCAAAATGGGGGAAGAGATTTTTAACCCTCTTACCGGCCAACAAAAGGGAATCCGTAAGAGACTGAAGATAAAAGGAGAAAATATCCTCAAAACACGGAACAAAAAGAAGTCAAAGAAAATAAGGCTGAGAGCACAGGTGACAAGATTGGTCTAGCAAAGAAAATATAAAAAAGAAAGAAGCTAGTAAATTGGTATTGGTGAGTATACAAGAAGTTTGTAGGAAGGGAGAGGAAGAAATCCACACTACCATCTGCCCCATGAAATAGGAAGGCAATCATTTGCTGAAAATGAGGTCATGATTGGGAAATTTGTACTTCCGGATATATGTCTTGCTGGCCAGACTATGAAGTACTTGGTGGTAGGATCTTTTTTATCCTCCACACATAGCACATAGTACCCAGCACATAGCAATGGCTCAATAAATGTTTCTTGAATAGGGGCCTCCCCGGTGGCACAGGGGTTAAAGAAACAGCACTATCAAGCTATGCCATCCACTGCAACATGAATATGATGCCGCCCAGGGAGCAACCCACATGGCGCAGAAGACCTCTCCTGTCTCGCCCGCTGCTCCCCTCAGCAGTTTATTTCGTCCGTCTGCCTGTTCTGCTTCCCACTCTGTCTCTGGTGAATCCTCTCACACCCCCCCACACACACCAGGCTACATCCCAGTTTTTGTATGCATAAACCAACCTTTAAAAAATGTTTATTGAATAAATAATATAGCTATTAAGGGTCCATTTAAGATTGCAAAATCAAACCAAACAATCCCAACTCCCACCTCCCCAGTAAAGCCAAATGTTTAAATGTTGTATTGTTAATAGCTACATAGAGTCACTGAGTTTATCCATGGCTGAGTGATTGGCAAAGGAGACACAGGGAGTTAAGTGAGCAAAATAATTGAGAAATACTGGTAAGCAAAAACAGATGACTAAGGATTCTGGGATTTGTAGGAAGAGAAGTGAAATCATAGGCTGAAACCTAAAAGGCTGTCGGAATAACTGTAATTTCTTTGCTATTTTTCCTTAAAAGTATTCCAAAACAACAACAAACACCTAAAGATTGGGGTTGCCCTTCTTTTTTAATTTTTTTTTGTATTTATACAAAAGCTGGGGTACAGGCCAGATGTGCAGGAGGGTGAGAGGATTCACCAGAGAGAGAGCAGGGAGCAGAACAGGCAGACTGACTGAAGTACACTGCTTAGGGGAGCAGAGGGCGAGACAGGAGAGGTCTGCTCACCATGTGGGTTGCTCTGAGGCCGGTGGGGATTGAACCGGCACTGCAGAGGCTGCGGGCAGCTTCATAGCACTGCGCTCAACTGCCTGCGCCACCAGGGAGGCCCGGGCTGCCTTTCTTCATTTTGATCCTTTACCTTTCTATGTTGTCATGACACATAGATCTGGTCATGAAACCATTTACCTGGAGCTAAGCGTAGGGCACTTGTGCTGATTACCATGTACGGAAGCACAACACAGCAGGAAACCTTTGTTGGGTCCAGCATATGAAGTTACACCATAACATCTCCCCGCCCCCATTCCCAACCTTCTCAATACACGAGACATGGCATTTTATTAAAAAAAACTTTTTTAATTGGTTTACAAAGGAGCTACAGACTACATTGAAACTAATCTTTGTACAAAAAGGCCAAAAAAAAAAAAAAGCCCCAAAACACCAGAGACAAAAGGTATGGGGAGACAAGAAAGGAAGGTAATTGGTAATGAGTGACTTCAAGGCAGATTAGCATCATACATACACAAGATCAAGGGGGTGGGGGAGCAAGAAAGATGAGAAAGCGTGAAAGTATCCCCCACATAGCCCTGGTGATAATCCGATTGGTACCAACAATGTGTAGCACAGCATGGGATTATTAAGAAATTTAAAAAGGCATCAGTGGTAAGGAGACTGGTTATTGCCAGCTGAGAAATAAACTTGTTTTAGGCACCAGAGTGGAGCTCTGCGCCTCCCCCTCAGAAGATGACTGCTGGGGAAGAGGAAGCAGGCCCTGGGGCAGCTGCCATTGATGTGCATGGAAGGGGTCTCCTCAGGTCAATCTCAGCATAATTCCCCCATCTTTACCTGAAGTCTTTGTGCCCAGACCAAGATGAGGGCTATGGGATGCTGCCGGGAGAGAGGGGTGATCAGAAATATGAAGACCTGCCCTTGTCTATACTGTCTAAGAGCAGTTGCTGGGAAAGTAGAGGGCTGGGTAGACAAGCCCATTCCCTGCAGAGAAGGCACAGTATAATTCCTGAAGAAAGAGGGACACCCCTGCCCCCCACCCCAGGAGAGGTATCTACAAAGTCTTACCTGCAGCCTCAGTTTAACCCCGTTTGTTACGTATTTTTCTGTTACTAAAGGTAACTGAAGGCCCTCTTCTGGCTTAGCAGAGATGAGGCTGGCGGGGGTTGTTTGATAACGAGGAAAGGGGAAAACATACTGATTTCTGTCAAATGAAAGTCGTGGAGGAAATCTTTTTGGGTCTGGGGAAGTCAGACTGGAGAAGACCCAGGGGGAGGAATGAAGTACAGGATTCCCCTTTTATCCTTTACCAGCCTTCAATCTAAGGCAAGTGAGCCAAATCTGGAAGAGGGAGTAGGAATTTAATCTTAAAGCTGCTTAATGTCCTCCTGGGGGATGGTGTTTAGGGAAGGCAGACAAAGAAAAACAAGTCAACCTCAAAGCTGGTCTGCTCACTCTCCTAGGTCTGTACCCTAGGAGCAGGGCCAAGAGAGGCACCGGAGAGAGCACAGGCTCCCAACAAAAAGTAATAACCTGCCCATATTTTATCAGCAGTTTTCAAAAGCACTGTTTTCCGGGCTTGGAGAAGTGCCATATCCGCCTCCCTTTACCAGAACTACTGCTGCCACCTTTCATCCTAGCACAAAAGTTACTGGCTCTCTTCTAAGGGAGATGAAACTCTGAGATTTCACATTTCTCCTCCCAATCCCAAGAGGCTACCCAACTTTGAATGGGGGGGGGGGTGCAGGGGGGGCAGGAGAGCTACTCAGGTGGCTACTCACTGGAGGCAGCTAGACTATCATTTCCTTGGTACCTGGATCTCCAGAACTCATTTGATCTGATTCCAAGGTCCAAAAGGCATCAGGGTATTTACAATTGAATGAAAGTAAGTAGCACCAGGGCTTCCCCAAAGCATAACAGGGGCCTGATTAATACCCCAGAACCCCTCAAAAAGAGTATAAATTTACCGCATTCTAGCAAAGATCTGCAGCTTCCAGTATTCACACAAAGTGAAGCTATTAACAATACAAAATATATTCTGAAAGTCAAATATCTGCAGTTCATAGTGCTTTCTCAGATTTGTTAAAAAAATACAATGCTTAGTTTCCTATATAGGATATACAAAAGCAAAAAATATATATATATGTATATAGTAGAAATAAATCAATCAGCCATAGTAATTTACAGCTTTTGTCTCTAACCCTCCCCCAATCATAATCTTTATCCCACATTTCAATCTATAGTTTTTTGGGATCAAGGGTTCTAATTATTCTGAACCAAGCTGAGAAATATCTATTAATTTGTTTTCGGTATGGCACCCACAAGGAGAGCGCCAGCTGGGAAGTCCCTGAAGGAAGATGGCATGGGTTGTTATTGCTCTGGGTGAAAAGTGAGACAGTCAAATGACAAACAGACGAAAGTGAAGGGGCAACCTAAAAGTACAGGGAATGAGTGCTTTACTATTACCATTTCTCTGGGCATTCCCTGCCTTGCAAGGTTTAAAGAAAAATTTTTTTAATTAAATAAAAAAGCAACTCATGAAAATAATGTTAGATCAATATGCCTGTCAGTTACATTAATTTCTGCTGGCCCAAAGTTCAGGGAAAGGGATTTTCAGCCATAAGCTCCTGACTCAAGGAATGTAGGCTCCTACTTTCCTGTGAAGAAGACTGGAGTGGCATACTGCTGTTTGGAGACAAAAGCAGCAGTTGCTCAGTTTGGGGGTCAAACAAGATACTGGATTTGAAGTTTCAACAATGAGAAAGATATAGGACAAATGGAAAGGACTGGATAAAAATTCACTCATAGTAATGCATTAATGAAGGGAGTTCAGGGTAAACTAGTATCCATCCCAGAGAAACAGCATCAAATCACCTAAAAGCCTCTAGTCCTCAGCATCAAGGTAGTTTGTATCTAATGATTTCATATTGGAGAAGATTCCATTCCTTGAAATGTTCTAGCCAAATACTGCACACTTCAGTGAGTTATTGTGTCCCTTTCCTCCAAAAGATGCCTATGTACATGATTATGGACATAAAGTAGCAAGTTTTGAGTTCTGCCCTTCAGTGGGACTAAAGGCTGTGGTCAGTGGCTGGACATGGATGACTCTCACTTCAATATTAACAAAATTTGATCTGGGGAAAATTCTTTGCAATAGTTCCTGAGCATTAAAAACAGTAATACGTCTGCAGAGAAAGGACCAAAGAGAGTGAACCACTATTTAGAATATGAACAGTTACTATATTTCAGGTTAAGTAACAACACAAACTCACCTAAACCCTAATTTGGACAGATTTTATATAAAATATACAGAATCATAGCATCATCTATTTGTAGTCACGATAAAAAAGACATAAGAAAGGAAATAGGACCCCGCTATAGAGCTGGATAATGGTTTCATGTTCAAACACAAAAATAGTTTCTTCTTTTAAAGGTGTAGAATATCCCCCCATTCATAATTGTAATTAATTTTAGCAGAGGCAAAGAAATGACCTCAGAAACACACCCAGGTTTCAAGGTATTTTTCTAGGTAACGGGCCTGAAAGGCATTTTGATCTGATTTATTCTCTAACAATTTCAAATATAATTTCTCATCTGTGTGTAAGTATATACAGGCACAAACACACACACACAGTCATACATAAACACTTCACTTTCTATCAGATCAGGGTAATTTTTTATTGCAGGTCTCCTTTAGTATTGGCTAACAGAAAAACCTATCCCCAACCTAACAGATTACATACACCCACACTTCCTCACAGTGAAAAGCTCTCTGACAAGATATCAGGTCAAGAGAGTCAATATTTTAATGGCTGGGCCTTGAGGACAACTCTGGTTGTATTTAAATCTCGGTGCCAAATGCACTAAGAGTTCCCTGCCGCTATAATTTTTGGAACAGTCTCTTCAGGAATCAGGCCATGGAGAAAGTAGAACGTTTTCTCCTGATCTCTCCTATAAACCACAGTGGTAAGACAAGATTTCTGCTTGTTCTGGGCTATTATTCCCATGATTGTGTGCTTTCTTTTCCCTTAGAATCCACCCAAAGAAGAGTTAAGGGAAAAGCTCAAAGAACCACTGCCTTGCCACTAGCAGGTGCTCTGGAGTTCTGCAGAATGGAAACCCCGAACAGATTCATTGGCTGATGCTCCTTAAGAACATAATGGGAAAGAAACTACTGGGATATTCAAAAGAGGTAATATATTTCCTTTCAGACTGTGAACTCAGAAGCCCACACATCAGAGCTTAGAGCTACCTAGGAAGATGTTGTGCAAAAAATCCAAATATTCCACTGACTCCTGAACCGGACTACTAAGAGTCACTTCTGCTTCTGAGCACATTGTTTTCCTACTGATAACCCCGACCTATTATTTGACCATCTTTTGACAGTTTAGTCCAGATTATAATCTTCAAAGGGTCTCTCATACAATTCCATAGAAAGATTTCTGATTTTTGATGCTTAGAGCAGCTAATGAAAAGACTCTCCAGCGCCAAGAGGGTGCCTGCGTCAGTAGTATTTTGAACACTCTCTCCACAGCTACCCCGAGCATCAGCTTGGGTCTCAAAGCTTTTTCCATTCTGCTACTGGGACGAAAGACTTCAAAAGAGAGTGACAGAAGTGCCTCATCCAGGGATCACTACCAAAAACAGAACATAAAGTGATCAGGTGAGAGGAGACAAAAAAGGGTTGAGTCAGGAAAGGAGTGCAAGAAGCTGATCCCAAATAAAGACAAAATTAAGAGGAAAACCATTATGCATGTATATATAAACTAAAAGCAAAGCATATGAATGCTTAATCTGGTGGGAAGCCAAGACAACATCTATGGAAAAGCTTGATGTGTTACAACAAGGCTCAGCCATGGGGAAATAAGGCAATATAAAAAATGACCAAGGTTTTTTGGTCACAGAATGGTCTCTTTCCTCCTCCCAGTCAACCCCTGGTGAATGCATCTCTATATATCTTTTATATATATATATTTATATATATATAATATAGAATCTGTTTTTTGTTAAAAAGTATTTCAATGATCATATATATTTATCAAGGCATGATGGCTTTAGGAAAAGGGGGAGGATCCATCATGGGGGAGCTGAGAAGGGAAATGCAGGAAGGAGAAGCTGAGACAAGAAGTGTAAGAAGAAACTGTTTGGGGGGGTCAAACAAATGCTCAAAGAGTGGCACCAACAGAATTGTCACTAATGTTTCCCACTTCAAGGTAGTACTGATGATATATAGGTGAGTGCCAGGACCCCATCTCTTCTCTTGTATCCTCCCCCCAACAATTCCCACCACCATGCATTTTAATGCCTCATGGCTCTCTCTCCCACATGTCTCTTGGACCCATGCTACTTTGCATCCCAGGGGTGATGGGTATGGCCCATATGTCTCTGGCCCTGGGTGCCTGACTTCAGAAGCCATTGCCACTGATATTAATGGACTGCAGATCCGCCACCTGCATGACGTTGATGCCACTGTTGGCAAGACGGGCAATACCCTCTGGACAGATGGCCTCCATTGCTACCATATTGGTGGTAATCAGAGCTGAAGGGGTGGCAGTGCCGCTGCCTTCTGAACCTGCCCCACTGTCCAGGGGCAAAGTGCCCACACTCAGGGCTACACCTGGGCCTCCCTTCTTATTCTGATGGGTCTTGATATGCTTTGACAGGTGATCACTCCTCATGAAGCGCTTGGGACACTCAGGGCAGGCAAATTTCTTCTCACCTACAAAAATGCAAAGGAAGAAGGTAAGACACTGGTGACTTAGGAAGCAGGGGCACCTTGTCCAAGTCTTTGCTCTCAAACTTATTAGTCAGAATAGCTTATCTTGGGCCTCCCAGGTGATGCATAGGGTTAAGACCCAACCTATGAAGCTTCCACAGCCACTGCAGCATAAGTTCGATCCCCGGCCAGGGGGCTAAGCCACATGGCGCAGCAGACTCTCCTGCCTTGCCTGTGCTCCCCTCAGCAGTGTATTTCATTACATCTGCCTGTTCTGCCCCCCACTCTGTCTCTGGCGAATCCTCTCACCCACTATACCTCTGGCTTACCCCCCAATTCTTCTATGCATAAATAAATAAAAACTTTTGTTTTTTAGAATAAGAATGACATCAAACGTCCACCTTCAAAAATCCACTCAAAACTTGGCTTCTTCCTTCTTAATGGTTTTCCAGATTAACTCCAATTTCATAAATTCAATTTCATAAGTAAGCTGCTCAGATCTTCTCATTATTTCATAGATATATATTTTGTTAACTTTTTCTCTTCCTCATATTCCCACTCACCTGTGTGTGTGCGTTTGTGCCTCTGTAGCTCATCCGAACGTGTGAAACGTTTCCCACAATATGACCAAGTACACATAAATGGTCTCTCGCCTGTATGCCAGCGCAAGTGTGCCCGTAAGTGTGAGGTCTTGCCATATACTTTGCCACAGCCTTGGATGTGACAGATGTGCTGTTTCTTTTTACCAGGATCCCCAGAGCCCCTGAAAATGAAAATACAACTATTTATCATTTGTTCTACAGACAGAAATTAAAAACAAACAAAAAAACAAAATGTCCACAGTAATCACCTGATCTACTCAAAACAACCCCAAAATTGTATTTTTCAAGTCTTCTCTTTAAGGCCCTCCCTGGTGGCACCCCTGCTATCAAGCTATCGCCAGCCACTGCAGCATGAGTTTGATCCTGGCCGGCCAAGGAGCAACCCACATGGCGCAGACCTCTCCTGACTCATCCACCACTCCCCTCAGCAGTGTGTTTCAGTCAATCTGCCTGTTCTGTTCCCTACTCTGTCTCTGATGAATCCTCTCACTCCGTGCATCTCTGGCCTGTACCCCAGCACTTGTATGCATAAATCAATCAATCTTGGGGGAAAAAAAAAAGTCTTCTCTTTAGTATCAAAAGATACATCTTTAGTTGATTCTGGATTTTAATAGCCAAAATTAAAGCCATAGGTTTCTGTCTACTGCTTATTCCTTCTTTCCTGCTTGCCTGTTCCTAAATCGATTTCGATGTTTGACATTTGGATGGTGACTTAGGATTTTTGTTACTTTTATTTTTCAGGAACTTTTAGTCCCAATATAAGCATTTTTCATGGGAATTACTGTGAATATGTTAGTATTTTTTGCTATGAACTTACTTAATGAGGATAAAGGATCTTTCCATTTAAGCAGCTGGTGGAGAAATTAAAGAAAATACAGTATTTGAGAACTTTTCTCATAAAATAAAAATCAAGAGCCAAATAGTGATGCTTAAAAGTTGAAAACCTGGAGCAGTATCAGAGACTTCAGTGGAAGAGAATATTGGCTGGATGAAAGTTAAAAGAGGGGAATGAGAACCCTAACAAATTCATGGTATGTAAAAACATATCCCCACATGGAGCAAATCCCAAACTCCTCTCACAAACTGGTTCTGAAATATTCTTACCAAACCAATCTGTTCCATGTGTGATCTACTACAGAGTATTGGGGTTATTTCCAAGAGGAACGATTTTTGGGTTTTAACAGAAAATATTAGCAGAAGAAAAAGAAAATATTAGAAATGCAACCACACTTAAGGTGGTTCTAAAGAATGGGGGATACTTGGGCCTCCCCTGGTGGCGCAGTGGTTGAGCGCTGGGCTGTGAGGCTGCCCATAACCTCTGCAGCACCGGTTCAATCCCTGGCCACCGGTGAGGGTCCCAAATGGTGTGACAGACCTCTCCTGTCTCGCCTGCTACGCCCCTCAGCAGTGTATTTCGTCACTCTGCCTGTTCTGCTCCCCGTTCTGGCTCTGGTGAATTCTCTCACCCTCCCGCGCTTCTGACTGTACCCAGTGCTTGTATAAATAAATAAATAAATCTTTAAAAAAAGGGGGGGGATACTGCAGAAAATTTTCTTTTTAAAGATTTATTTATTTATGCATACAAGACCTGGGGTGCAGGCCAGAGGTGGGGTGTGTGTGAGAGGATTCACCAGCGACAGAGTGGGAAGCAGAACAGGCAGATCTATTGAAATACACTGCTGAGGGGAACAGCAGGTGAGACAGGAGAGGTCTGCTGTGCCATGTGGGTCACCTCCCTGGCCAGGTATCGAACTCATGCTGCAGCGGCTGTAGACAGCTTGATCTTGCCGTGTCTTAACGTCTTAACCCCTTGTGTCACCAGGGAGACCCCTACTTCAGAAATTTAAATCCACTAAACTTGTTAGAGGGAAACTATGGTACTCAGTGCTTTTGATTCAATTTCTCTTGTAAAATAGGGCAACCTACAAAAACTTCAAAAATTTTTATTTTTGCATAGAAGAACTGGGGTGTAGATCAGAGGTGCGGGAAGTGAGAGGATTCAACTGAGACAGAGTGGGGAGCAGCACAGGCAGATTGACTGAAATACACTGCTAAGGCAAGTAGCAGGTGAGAAAGGAGAGGTTTGCTGTGCCACATGTGGGTTACCTCCCTGGCCAGGGATCGAACTCACGTTATAACTAACAGTGATAGTGCTGAGATTTTACTCCTAGGCCACAAGGGAGGCCCAAAAACCTCAAAATTATTTTTTGATAGTTTTCTTTATTTTTATTTTTTTTTCTTTTTTAAACAATTTTTTTTTTTTAAAGAGGCACGTATTTTATTTATTTGTTTGTTTGTTTGTTTATACATGCACTGGGTACAGTCAGAAGCGTGGGAGGGTGAGAGAATTCACCAGAGCCAGAGCGGGGAGCAGAACAGGCAGAAGGACCGAAGTACACTGCTGAGGGGTGCAGCGGGCGGCAGGAGAGGTCTGCGCGCCATGTGGGACCCTTCCTCCGGTGGGCGGGGAGTAGCCGGGGATCGAACCGGCGCCACAGAGGCCGCAGAGAGCTTCGCAACCCAGCGCTCAACCGCTGCACCACCGGGGAGGCCCTATTTTTATTTCTGTGCTTATTTTTGCTGGGACAAAACTTTAACAGAGGGCCTCCCCAGTAGCACAACGTGTTGAGCACTGCACTGTGAGGCTGTCCGCAGCCTCTGCAGCATGGGTTCAATTCCCAGCCCGCCAGGGAGAAACACACATGGCATGGCAGACCTCAACTGCCTCGCCTGCTGCTCCCCTCAGCATGTCTTTGGTCTGTCTGCCTGTTCTGTTCCCCGCTCTCTCTGGTGAATTCTCTCACCCTCCTGCACCTCTGACTTGTACCCCAGTTCGTGTATAAATAAAAATAAATCTTAAAAAACAAAACAAAAAACTTTAATAGATATTTTACAAAGGCATTGAAAAAATAATGTGACTTTCTAGTCTCTTTCAAAAGCAGTGATAAGAAGGGAAAAAATAAAACTCAGAACTCTCCAGAGATAGCATTAAATAACAGGTGTTACTAATGAGAAAATTTGCCAGAATTTTGTTCTACAGGACACAAGTATTTTTGTCTATTGTGAGGGAAAAATAGGCTCTGAAAAACTTACAATTCTCACACACTCACTGTATGAAAGTAGACAAGTTTCTTTTTCTTTGTAAAGCTATTTTATAACCAACCGTGTTAAGAACATCCCAAAACTGGGCCTCCCCTGGTGGTGCAGCGATTGAGCGCTGGGCTGTGAGGCTGCCCGCAGCCTCTGCAGCGCCAGTTCGATCCCCGGCCACTGGCAAGGGTCCCACAGAAAAAAAAGAACATCCCAAAACAGACATGGTAATAATCATCAAGACTAGCTGGCTCCATCTGATTTCCTTATCTTTAGGAGAAAACAGGCATCTATTAAAGCCCGATATGGTCAGTGAAAGAATCAGAGCTGGAACTGAGATGCTATAATATAACCTAAGTACAGTACAGAAGTACTGTACTACTTCTGACCCCTTTGCAACATTGCCAGGTCTTAAATGTTAAAAAATTAACCCTCTTCTTAGCTCCAAATCCATGAAATTTTTTTCTTTACACTCTTAAGAAACAGGTTGAGTCAACTCACCTTCCTTCACTGTCCTTACAATAAGGGCAGGTGCATGCTTCTCGCCGGTTTCTCCGACCAGCTTGGGGTTGAGGGTCTGGGCTGTTCTCTCCTTCCTCTCCACCTGCTGTGTCGTCATGTATTCCATCACCACCAGGCCCATGGATGCCAAGCTGAGCTCCATGATCACCTGAAATGAAGAGAGAAAAAAGATCAAGTTGGGAAGTATGGTAAGTTAGCTGCAGGCTTTGCAGTGACACCTCACATTTACAGCACTATTTCCTCAAAGCTTTGAAAGTATATTCACTGATACAGCCCATTCTTGAATCTTAAGAAGCATCACTGAAAATGCTATGAATCAATAAATATATGAAAATACGGCCAATCTCACCTAATTTTAACAATCCAACTCATTTATAAAGGACTTTCGTAATTTTTACCTATAAGATTACGAAAGTTAAAACCCTAATAGTGCAGAGCATCAGCAAGAACCTGGGGAAATATGTGCTTCTATACATAGGGAGTGATAAATTAGTACAACTCCTTTTTTTTTTTTTAAGATTTATTTATTTTTATACAAGAACCGGGGTACAAACCGGATGTGCAGGAGGGTGAGAAGATTCACCAGACAACAGTGGGGAACAGAACAGGCAGACTGATGAAATACATTGGCTGAGGGGAGTAGCGGGCACAGCAGGAGAGGTCTGCTTTGCCATGTGGGATTCTCGCCGGCTGGCCGGGATCAAACCCGTGCTGCAGAGGCTGTGGACAGCTTCACAGTGCAGCACTCAACTGCCTGTGCCACCAGGGAGGCCCTCCTTTTTTTTCAAAAAAAAAAAAAAAAGATTTATTTATGCCTACAAGAACTGGGGTACAGCTCAGAGGTGTGGGGGGTGAGAGGATTCACCAGAGACAGAGTGGGGAACAGAACAGGCAGACTGACTGAAATACACTGCTGAGGGGAGCAGCGGGAGAGTCAGGAGAGGTCTGCTAACCATGTGGGTCACCTCCCTGCCCGGGAATCAAACTTGTGCTGCAGTGGCTGTGGATAGCTTCATAGTGCTGGATTTTAACCCCTTGCGCCACCAGGAAGTCCCCTACAACTTCTTTGAAGGTTAAGGAAGTTATGATAAATTGATGTAAGGAATAACTACACACCCATTAGAAAGAATGAGATAAAGTTATGTACTGTAACAGGAAGATGTCTAAGAAATCTTATTCTTTCTTTTAGCTAAAGTGCAATAGGATCAACTAAACATAAAAGCCTAAAAAAAGGAGTTTGGATTTACAAACCAGAAACCATATAAAACCTGAGGGGAAACTTTCTAAAATAAGAAAAACATTGTTGGGGCCTCCCAGGTGGCGCAGGCGGTTGAGCACCACGCTGTGAAGTTGTCCGCAGCCTCAGCAGTGCCGGTTCGATCCTTGTTGGCCTCGGAGCAACCCACATGGCGAGCAGACCTCTCCTGTCTCGCCCATTGCTCCCCTCAGCAGTGTATTTCGTCAGTCTGCCTGTTCTGTTCCCCACTCTGTCTCTGGTGAATCCTCTTACCCTCCCTCGCATCTGGCCTGTACCCCGGTTCTTGTATAAATAAAACCTTGGGAAAAAAAGAAAAAAAAAATTGTGCTGAGTATTCAGCAGGGAGTAGTACATGTCTATTATAAATTCTGACACAAAGGGAAGAAAAACAACTGAGATCAAAGTTAATTCTGTAAAAATAGCCCAGGAAGGTTTAGATTCAGACCTGGGTGCTATTTAGAATGCAATAAAAAGGAAGACAATATCAAATCTACCTCATTCTAATATGTCACTTGATGTCATTTGCTTTTAAAGATAAAATTTGTATGAAATCACTGTATTTTTGCCCTAGTTAAAATATATAAATTCTACAAATTTTCAAACATTTTATTTTATTTTAAAGATTTATTTATTTATGCATAAAAGAACTGGGGTACAGGCCAGAGGTGTAGGGGACGGTGAGAGGATTCACCAGAGACAAAGTAGGGAGCAGAACAGCTGGATCCACTGAAATACACTGCCAAGAAGAGCAGTGGGGAGAGACAGGAGAGGTCTGCTGCACCATATGGGTTGCTACCCCCCCACCCCCAAGGATCAAACTTGTGCTGCAGTGGCTGCAGATAGCTTCAGAGTGCTGCACCTTAACCCCTTGCGCCACTGGGGAGGCCCCTCTTCTCAAATTTTCAAAGCATCTACACCATAAGTAAGTGTTCACTAATGAAAGCACCTTATTAAATCTATCCATATTTAAGATATGGGGTCACATTTAACACCTAGAAATCTAGGGCTTTGATTTTACTTATGTACCTATTATCTACTCTTTTCAGCTCATCAACATAATTTTGAGTTGCAATGCCAAATAATAAATCTCCATGTGCTGTATGTCTCACTCAACCACTTTTAAGCACTGGATTACAGCATTAAAATTAACTTCATTTGAGTATTTTGAGATTTTTCAGAATATTGGCAGAGTCAGACTCAGAAATACTGGGGTATAAGGTTAAGAATAGTTTTGGGGGGCCTCCCTGGTGGTGCAGGTGGTTGAGCAACGCACTGTGAAGCTGTCCACAGCCTCTGCAGTGCGGGTTCAATCCCGACTGGCTGGCAAGAACCCCACATGGCGAAGCAGACCTCTCCTGTCTCGCCCGCTGCTCCCCTCAGCAGTGTATTTTGTCAGTCTGCCTGTACTGTTCCCCATTCTGTCTCTGATGAATCCTCTCACCCTCCTGCGCATCTGGCCTGTACCCCAGTTCTTGTATAAATAAATCTTAAAAAAAATAGTTTTTGGGGGTCTCCCTGGTGGTGCAGGTGTTAGTCTCAGTGCTATCAAGCTATCATCAGCCACTGCAGCATGAGTTCAATCCCACACCAGAGAACTAACCCACATGGCACAGCAGACCTCTCCTGTTTTGCCTGCTGCCACCCTTAGCAGTGTGTTTCAGTAGATCGATCTGCTCTGCTCCCTATTCTTTCTCTGGTGAATCCTCTCACCTCCTGACCCTCAGTTCTTCTACGCATAAGTAAAAATAAATCTTTTCTTTTTAAAGATTTATTTATGCATACAAGAACTGGGATACAGGCCAGAGGTGTGCAAGGGTGACAGGATTCACCAGAGACAGAGTAGGGAACAGAACAGGCAGACTGACTGAAGTACACTGCTGAAGTGAGCAGCAGGTAAGTCAGGAAAGGTCTGCTGGGGCGCCATGGGTAGCTCCCTGGCTGGGGATCAAACTCGTGCTACAGAGGCTACGGATTGCTTCATAGGTTGTGTCCTAACCCCTTGACCCACCAGGGATGCCCAAAAAATAATTTTTTTTAAAAAAGAATAGCTTTGGGGGCCTCCCCTGGTGATGCAGCGGTTGAGCGCTGGGTTGCGAGGCTGCCCGCAGCCTCTGCAGCACCAGTTTGATCCCCAGCCACCGGCAAGGGTCCCACAAAAAAAAAAAAGAATAGCTTTTGAAGTAAAACAGACCTAGATAATGAGTCCTGTATCACAATTTGATTAGTTTTCTGACAGTGAGCAAGTAATTTCTTTTTTTGAGTAATCCCTTTCTCCATCAGTAAAAGTGGGATGAAATATTACAATTTCAAAAAGCTATAAATCTCATAAACTGAAAGTAGTAATACATGTGAGGTGCTTAACAAAGTGCACAGTACCTGTCACACAGCAAATGTTCAACACATTGTAGCTAATATTACTAGGAAAATATCATGGGAAAATCACAGTGAGAACTCATGGAGTAAGACATACATCAATACCCCAATACCCTGTTCAATCCATTGGCCCTAAAACTGTACTTGTTACTGAGTGAGCACTCCCCCTAGTGGTGATGGAGAATTTATCCTTTGAAATAAGCCCAAGTAGATCAGCAGGCAAGACAGGTCGATAATATTGCTATCGGTTATCCATCAAAAATTAACTACAGAAGAGAAATTTACAGAACTGGTAGATCCAGCTTTCTGTCACGGATCTTTAGAAACAAGATCAGATGAAACTATGGGGAATATAAACAAATGACCTTAGATCCATTTTTCAAGATAACCTAACTTCATTAAAATTTGAGAAGCGGGGCCTCCCCTGGTGGCACAGGTGGTTGAGCGCCACATTGTGAAGCTGACCACAGCCTCTGCAGCAACGGTTTGATCCTGGTCCCACATGGCACAGCAGACCTCTCCTGCCTCGCCCGCTGCTCCCCTCAGCAGTGTATTTCGTCAGTCTGCCTGTTCTGTTCCCCGCTCTATCTCTGGTGAATCCTCTCACCCTCCCGCACATCTGGCCTGTACCCCAGTTCTTGTATAAATACATAAATAAATCTTTAAAAAGAAAATTTGAGAAGCGATTCATTATTCCCAAAGGTTTCCTTTGTCCCAATCAATTGGAAAGAGGCAATCTGTCCTCTAATTTTTTTAAATGTAAGCATAATATTCAGGGCAGGGCATAAATCAGTAAAAAGGGCAACAAAGAAATAATTAGATATTAGAACTCTCTAAAACCCTATAGCCAACCCTCTTTCAATTTCTTTTTTTTAAGATTTTATTTATTTATACAAGAACTGGGGTACAGGTCAGAGGCATAGGAGGGTGAGAGAATTCACCAGAGACGGAGCGGGGAGCAGAACAGGCAGATGGACCAAAGACACTGCTGAGGGAAACAACAGGCAAGGTAGGAGAGGTCTGCCACACCATGCGGGTTTCTCCCTGGCCGGCTGGAAATGAAACCCGCGCTACAGAGGCTGCATACAGCTTCACAGCACAGCGCTCAACCCGCTGCACCACTGGAAAGGTCCCCTCTTTCAATTTCTTACAAAATGAACAGTCAAAAATCACATCCTGTGACCTCACTGGTAGCGCAGGGGTTAAAATCTCAGTGTTATCAAGCTATCAGCACCCACCGTAGCATGAGTTCAATCCCTGATTCCTGACCAAGGAGCTAACCACATGGCACAGCAGATCTTTCCTGCTCCCCTCAGCAGTGTATTTCAGTGAGTCTGCCTGTTCTGTTCCCCACTGTCTCTGGTGAATCCTCTCACCCTCCACATCTCTGGCCTGTACCCCAGTTCTTGTATGCATAAATAAATAAATCTTTAAAATAAATAAATAAATAAATAAATAAATAAATGATTTCCCTTTCTATAATGAAAATAACTAGCAAACCAGAGGGACTGTTCAAT